AAACTACTTAAAGAAAAGAACTCCCCTCAGGAAAGAGGTGAACAGTACAGAAGAAGCTTGACATTGGGCTCCACCCTGAAGGAACACTGAAATACAATACACGGAGGGAAATGTCTTGAGCTAGGGGTGTAGACTCAGCAAGAAACTGGCAGCCTCAGGAATGTATTGTTTTAAATGGGAAGAAGTGAGGTAGTGCTAAAAGTTTTGTGATGCTTTGTGTGATGCAGGCCCTTCCTATTTAAAATAAAAGATAGGAAGTTTTGGCACCATATAACTGTATGATGAAAATTCAGAGAGCTGAAACTTTTACATAGAGAGATTCCATTATTTTGTTGAATCTAACAAATTCGAAACAGATACAGTTGCTTCTGTGATCCTGAGTATTCGAGGAAGAAAACCTTTAACCTTCTGAGGTACAGCCAGAGAAAACATGGTCCAAAACTTATGAAGAAATAATAGAAATCCTACAGAACTATTTTTCGGTAAAACCATTGGTGATTGCTGAAAGGTGTAGACTCTGTAAATGCCACCAGAATGATGGTGAATCTATATCCCTGTTCGTGGTAATTTTAAAGAAGTTAGCAGAATCCTAAGAATTTGGAGACAACTTCAATTATGCTATCAGAGGCAGACTGATGTGTGGTTTACGATGTGAAGCAATCCAGAAGAGATTACAGATGGAAAGGAATCTAGGGTTAGACTGGAAATAGCAGTCTCAATGGAAGTAGTAGCCAAGGAAGCTCAACAGCTAAGCTCAAGCATGAGAGTTTAAAAATTGAAGCTGAGAGACAAGCACCAACACAGATTCAAACCTATCATTGGTGTAGAAAAACAGATCACAAAGCAGCAAATTTCTCGTATAAAAAAACTATCGCAAAAGAGGGCACATTGAATAGGCAAGCTTGAGGAATAAACATGAACAACATACAGTAAAAGTACAGAAACTGAAGAGTAGGAAGAAAATCTATAAGACACAAAAAAGGCATGAGGAACAGACCGTCTGTTCGAAGAAGAACTGTTATTAAATGTGTGACCATTGCTGGCGACACCAACCGATACTGGGTTGCTTCCTTCCTGAATGACAAACCAGTAAGAATAGAGGGTGACACTGGAGTGGCAGTTTCATTGATATCAGGGACAGCTGAGCCACATTGCACTGCAATCCTCAAGAATTGTATTAAGAACATATTCAGACAAAGTGGTGCCTTTAAGGGGTTGTATCAATATGAACGTTCAGTTATACAGTCAGTCTGAAGATTTATTCTTAAACATTACTAAAGGAAATTTTCCAGCTTTATTGGAAAGAACATGGTTGGAGAAAATCAAACTCAAATGGACTGCAATAAATTGCTTGTCAGATTCTGAGAGTGAGCAATCACAAATTCTAAAGAAACATGCCACTGTTTTCAATGGGAATCCAGGAAACATGGATAAGATCCCTGTCTAATTGAAAATCAAGAATGAGAATCAAGGAAAATAATGCAACTCTAGATCAGTGCCTTATGTGATCAAAGATGGGGGCAGAATTGGAGAGGCTGGTCAAGATGGAAGTCCTAGAACGTATAAATGTGAGTGATTGGGCCATGTCGATTGTACCAGTGATGAAGAAACATGGATTGGTACACATCTGTAGTGATTTTAAAGTCATTATTAATTCAATACAGTGGGTTTTTAAAAAAATACCCATCTCTGGTGCAGGTGGGACTTTAACGCAGGCCTTCTGGTTCAAAGATTGGGACTGTGTCCAGTGCTGTGCACTGAGCAGTACTGTTTACCTTTAATCAATGACCTATTTGCTGAACTTGCTGTGGGTTAGCTTTTCAGTAAAATTAATCTTAGTCAAGTCTATTTCCAGCTGATTGCAGAACCTGAGTCACAGAAATACTTGATGATTGCAACACATAATGGAATATTCAAATATGCGAGACTTCCATTTGGAATCACATCTACACCTGCAGTATTCCAATGTGCTTTGGATCAGATTTTAAGTAGATTGGAAAGAGCCCGGTGTTGCTTAGATGATATTTCAATCATAGCAAGAGGTGATAAAGAACATCACCAAAATTTAGATGCTACTCTGCAGGGAGTTGAAGAATATGGCCTAAGAGTGAGGAAATGTGAATTTTTAAAATCTTTCATTTAGGCTATGCCATTGATGCTAAGGAGCTACATTGAGGCACCTGGAATTGTAAATCAACAATGATAATTTTTGGGCTTGCTAATTTACTAATGCAGGTTTGTCCCAAATATTGCGATAATTCTCAAACTGTTGCACAGGTTATGATGTCAAAATAAGAATTGGAAATGGGAAGATCAATATGAAAGAGCTTTTACACAAGCCAAAGGCTTTATTAAAGTCTGTAGTCCTGACCCATTTTGACCAAAAGTTGCTGTGACCAGCATGTGATGCATCAATGTATGAAGTTTGAGCAGTCATTTCCCACATATTACCCAACGGTGAAGAGAAGTCAATAGCTTTTGCAAGATCATTAACAAAAGCAAAAATGAACTGTGCCCATATAGAGAAAAATGCTCTAGAAATCATTTTTGACATCGGACAATTCTACCAATATCTGTACAGCCAGAAATTTGCCCTACCAACAGACTGTCCCTGGAGACTATGTCTGTTGGAGGGATGTTTGGATGCTTCTCATATTGGCTGGTTAAATCGACTGGAGAGGCAGTTGGAGTCTCTGAGGAGCGTACAGGAAGCACAGAATGTGATGGTAGTAGCTTCAGAGAGGTTGTCACACTGCAGGTTCAGTCAGGTAGATGGGTGACTATCAGGGGAGGTAGGAGTCTCCTGTGGCTATCCTTCTCTCAGACAGATGTACCATTTTAGGTACTATTGGGGAGGATAGTCTCTCAGAGAAAAATAGCATTTGCAGCCAGATCATGTGCACCAAGAATGAATCTTCTGTTAAATGGGGTTTGTCAAGGTTCAAAAGAATAATTGTTATAGGGGATTGTCCCGTCAGGGGCACAGAATGGAGATTCTGTGGCCATAAGCAAGCATTCAGGATGGTATGTTGCCTCCCTGGTGCCAGGGTCCAGGATATCTCAGAACGGTTGCAGCATATTGTCAAAGGGGAGAGTGAGAAGCTGATGCTGTTGTGCACATTGGTAAAACACAACATAGTTAGAGAAAGGGTTGAGGCTTTGCAGAGTGAATATAGAAGTTAGGTAGGAGGTTAAAAAGCGGCTTCTCAAATGGTAGTAATCTCTGGATTACTCCCGGTGCCATGTGTTGGTGAGAGTAGGAATAAGAAGATAGGGTGGATAAATCAGTGGCTGAGGGGATGGTGTAGTGGGCATGGATTCAGATTTTTGTATTATTGGGATGTCTTCCTGTGCAAAGAGACCTGTTCAAAAGGGACTGGCTTCACCCAAACTGGAGGGAGACCAATATCCTGGCGGAGAAATTTGCTAGTTTTATTCGGGAGCCTTTAAACTAGTAGGGAGGGGTGGTGGAGGGATCCTAAGTAGTAGTAAGAATAGAAAGACAGAACAGCACGGTTTGAAAGTTAAACAGAGCATGTTAATTAGACAAGGCAGACAAGAGCAAGTCAGGGAACAAGGTAACTCTGAAGAATTAAACTATTTATTTCAATGCAAGAAGTCTGACAAGTAAGATGGATGAACTCAGGGCATGTATGGGAACATGGGATTGGTACATCGTAGCTATTACAGAAACATGGCTGAGGTGGAACTCAGAAATAAGAAGGGGATGATCACCTTGATGGGATTGTACTATAGGCTTCCCGATAGTCAGTGGGAAACCGAGATGCAAATCTGTAGAGAGAAAACAGATGTGTGTGAGATTAATAGCCATCACATGGTGTTGAACTGGGGTGGACAAAGTCAGAAGTCACACAACACCAGGTTATAGTTCAACAGGTTTATTTAAAATCACAAGCTTTTGGAGTGCCGGAGGATGTGAGTTATAAGGAGAGGCTGGAATAGGCTGGGACAGTGTAGGATGTTGAGGAATGACCTTATAGAAGTTTATAAAATCATCAAGGGCATAGAGAAGGTGAGTAGCAAAGGCCTTTTCCCCAGGGTAGGGGAGTTCAAAACTAGAAAGCATAACTTTAAGGTGAGAGGAGAAAGATTTAAAAGAAACCTGAGCGGCAACTTTTTCACACACACGGTGGCTCCTGTGTGGAATGAACTGCCAAAGGAAGTGGTAGATGCAGGTACAGTTAGAACATTTAAAAAACATTTGGACAGGTACTTGAATAGGAAAGGTTTAGAGGGCTATGGGCCAAATGCTGGCAAGTGGACTTGTTTAGTTTGGGAAACTTGGTTGGCATGGACGAGTTGGGCCAAAGAATCTGTTTCCATGCTATGTGACTCTATGACTCTATAACAGACCATTGACCACAATATTTGGAGTTCAGTCGGGGACACCTTCTTTAGCAGTGAGTCATAAGCTGAAGCTGGATTTGTTGCTATCAGCTCACATTTATAAATTTAACTATCAGCAATCTAATTTGCATGGGGAGGCTGATGGGATCTCTAGATTACCTTTGCCAAATGAGTCGACAACAAACATTCCTAATATAAACATTTTCTGCTACAATAAACCAGTAAAAAGCAGCCACCAACCTGGGCTTACATATACTGCAAGTGAAAACATCCTTTTACCAAAATAATGAATCAGCAGTCATATTACAGCAAGACATCCTCATGAAAACTTGTGATGGGCTTTTTAAGATAGAAACTACCTGCAACTTTTCAACTGCTAATCAATCAGCCTGCCCCAAGAAAAGGTTTTCCCAGTCTGATTACTCCAGCTTTCGACTTGGACTCAACCAAAAATGCAAGAACACTGACAAATTGTATCCTCTGTGTTGTAGTCATTGCTAACTGAATGTTCTCTTTGTATTCCAAATCTTTATTTTCTTGTAAGTGTGCTAGTGAAGAAAGATTGATAGGAATAAATTTGGATTTGATAGGAATATAGCTCTGAGTGTCTTTCTTCTACTTTCAATCCACAGGGGTCTATTTGATAACCACTGTAGAAATCCTGATCAGGATAGGGCTCCTTGGTGCTTCACAACTGACCCTTTGGTCCGATGGGAATACTGCAGGATTTCAAAGTGTGACACTGCACCATCTCAATCTCCCTCTATAATTCCTGTACATGGAGGAAGCAGTGAGGCCTTGCAAGCACCTGATGGTCAATCAGGTAACTAGAACCACCTTCACTGGGAAGGAATAAATCTAGTCATCACAAAAACTTGTAATTGTCTTACAATAATAAAGCATTGCAGCATGCGTTCAAAACACAATTAATCTAATCACATTTAAACTGACCAACACAGCTGCTTAAATAATTAATTGCACCAGGGATGGGATTTTTTGTCTTGCAATGCTGAGCAAACACACATAGGAGGAGTAAAATGGGAGACATGAGGACTGCACACTTAAAATTTTCCATTTGATTCTGGTTGCCTACTGCTTCCACTGGGTCAAGAGTCATTGTGAGCTCTGACCTGAGGCTCACTGAAGGTGATGTTGGGTTTGCAATTTAAACTCCTCTTGGGGTGAGATCCTGAAGGCTCTAAGAAACCAGCCGAGTAAATTGGTTTAACAGACTTTGAGGGAAACCTTTAATGCAGTCTGGAATATCTTGACAGATAAGTTTAAAAGGTCATGCCGGTGCCTCCTCATATTCCTCCAGCCCTGCTTCAAACATTTCTGCATGTTAAGCAACAATTGACATTCTCATAAGTGGTCCTGCCTCCTTTAGAATCCTATTGTTCAATGAATGAAATAATATTGATTGTTACAAATATATCACAACTGAAAGTAAGATTAAAATCAGATTAAAGTATCTTGCCCATGGTGCAATGAAACAGGTGAGTCTATCGCCACAAATTCCAGTAGATCATGTGTGTACATTAAATAGCAATCCCACTGTTTACAAATGTAAATATAAAAGAAAAATTTAATAACTTTGGTACTTAACAAAATAATTAAACTTAAATTATGTGTTATCTGTTGGTGTGTTTTTTTTCTTCAATTAATGGTGTTGATTTATTGTGTACTCCCACCTTTTGAATTGTCCAAAATGATGCTTCATTTCCAAAGCATGTGGCCTCTGTCATCGACTATTTTGACTTATCTCCCAGCAGTGATCATTTTTGACTTTTCCTTTGATTTATAATTTCCCTCTCAGTGACAGATTAGTTCAGCATATCTGCTCAATCTGAAAATGTATAAACCTGGATGCTACACTTCCACACGGCTCTGATTTATAATTTTTAAAAATGAAAGTACATTTTGTATGAAAATAGAAAAAAACGGTTTTCTTTCATATTCTATTGGGTTGTCAGCACATTTAAGTTTCCTCATTTCTGTGATGCTGCAATGAAAAACAGGGAGATCATTTTTTAAAAGTTGTATTTTGCCAGACTGCCGAGTAGGTAATGGAGCGACATATCGCGGGACAAGATCAACCACATCTAGTGGAAGAACATGCCAACACTGGTCAGCGATGACACCCCATTTTCATACTGTCTTCACTGCTGAATCAAATCCTGATGCTGGACTGGAGGAAAATGTAAGTTTTCTGTATGACCTGCAGGTTTGTCAGGATTTTCACCACAAAACATAAACATTAGCCCTCTACCAGAAGCTCGGAGACTTGAGATTTTATAATTAATTTCAATGAATTGTAGAAATGAATCTTAATGGTTTGTTGCCACATTTTCTTTTGCCTTGGACCCAATCCAGGAAAGAAGATGGTGGCAGCAAACTACCCCAACCATTTTTGTCAATTTGATGGGCCAAAGGGCTTTTTGCTATGTTGTAAAACTCTATGACTGTATGTCTCTATGACTTTGATAAGTACTGCCACAGCATCACTGCGTTTTATTCCTTATGAACTTCTCTTGAAGACATCAAATTTCTTAAACCTAATTCTGTCCTTCGTGGTGCCACAGTGCCCTTTGAATTATTTTAGAGATTTCGGCTTTAATGAAAGTTGTTCTGAGGAAGGGTCACCGGACCCGAAATGTTAACTCTGTTTTTTCCCTTTACAGATGCTGCCAGACCTGCTGAGCTTTTCCAGCAACTTTGTTTTTGTTCCTGTTGTTAATGAAGGTTGGGTCCTTTCATAAGGCATATAAATGTGTACAAAAACTGGAACTAATTGTGGTACCTTCTAGAACATTGGATAGCACTGAGGGAAATTTGGGATTTCATTCCTAATCTAATTGATAGGGACTGTAAGCTTTAATTATGAATTATTTGCATGAACTGCCCATGCCGTTACATTCTGGCTGATTATATAAAATTCTATACAGCATTTCATCAATCACAGCAAAATAATTTTCATTTTTACTAGTCCATTGGTGAAAGAATTTCCAGCTGCAGTGTTCATGACCATGACATTCATATTTTCATGCATGTCTCTGAACTCGTCATTTGGCAAATTCCCCTCCACTATCAGTCAGAAGTGTTGCTGGTGTCTCATGTGTGATTCTTATATATTTCTCCAAGGACTGCATTTTACACTGCAGGTAGGTTCTCACTCCCTAGCGTAACCATTGGGTACAAGCCTGCCTCTGCTTGGGTGATTCAACCCACTTTAATGTTTTGGGTGATAGCCTTTTAATTAATATGAGGTGGTTCTTAAATCTATCTTCAGGAAGGTATCGTCACTCAGAGAGTTGCCAGACAATTGGAGGCCAGCAACAATATCTAACTTAGTAATGTAACTTGTACCTAATTATTATCATGCAACAAATAACATCTTACTGAAACAACAGCCAACTCTTATTAAGACCCACTCATGGTTTTTTTCTCAAACTGTAAACTAAGTAGGACATTAGATGTCATCCACAATTTCTGCAGAACTGAATGTCTTGTTCAGCCTACTAGTGAATGAATATGCATGTGCATTGAGATTTAAAGCTGGTATAATTTAAATTTACAAATCAGTAATTCATCAGTTCAGCCACTTGTTAAAGGATAATATTGTTACAATAAGTATGTTTTGTTTTTCTGTTCATTGATAAAACCTAGCATGTGTTTCTTTTATCTTAGATAGTGGTCAAAGTCCAACAAATGAACCACTGTATTGGTTAAATTGATCATTTATACATTTATGACGACTTATAGAATACTCGGACTTGATTTTCAGTCTTCCCATTTCCCATTAGGATCATGAAAAAGAATAAATAGAACATATGAATGCATCAATTGCGAGCAGGAGTAGGCCATTTGGCCCCTCAAGCCTGTTTTACTTTTCAATAAAATATCTTTTTGTGGCTACAACACCACGGAAACAATGTTCTCAGCTATGACTGAAGGCCAATTGATCTGACAAGTATTTGAGGTTTGTTACACTTGACTGACATGCTTGGGCCCTAATCTCTGTCATTCCTTCTTAAAACTGTCTTTGCCTCTCCCTTTTCCTTTATGAGACACCCGAAAACCTAATTCTTTGAATTAGTTATGTGGCTTAGTCCCAAATATTGTCTGATTATCCCTATGTACAACACCAAGGGATGTTTTTACTGGATTAATAATGTTATGTAACTACAACTTGGTGTTATTTCAATATGTTTTGTTTTAATTGCAGTATTGCAGAAATCCGGATGAAGACCCCAATGGTCCATGGTGTTATACAACAGATCCCCAAAAAAGATATGATTCCTGTAATGATATTCCCATATGTGGTAAGTTCTACTTTTGAATTAACTCTGTGTACATTTTGCAAAATACATTTCCTCACATTAACAATCTATGAATAATACTGTTGCCATAGTTTAAACTTTGCATTGGCGAATAATTAATGGTATGATATACTTCCCCTGCAGACTAAAAGCTGCAAGAACATTTTATGCTGACTTTATTTATATGACATGAAGATCAGGCCAGTGCACTTCTCAAAAATGGGAAAGTAGATGGCTTCCTTCTTCATTCACATTGACACTGAGATTTACTGGAATAAGGGAAAGGAGTTGGGCCAGCTTAGACAGGCATTTGATCCATAAGAGAGTCAAGCGTTGTAGGGGACTGACAGGAAAGTGGAGTTAAAATCATAATCAGATGAGCTATGATCTTATTGAATGGCAAAGGAGGGTCAAAGGGCTGAATGACCTGCTCCTGTTTATGTTTCTTATAATCATATGATCTTATGGCAGCAGTGGTGTAACGAGATGAGTGGTGGCAGGAGTACTGGTTTAGTAATGGCCAGGAAATAATAAAGTGCAGGTATGATGGAAGTTCAACCCAAATTTACCAGCAGAACTACAGTTAACATTTTTGTCCATTTCTTGAGCAGTGACCAGGGTGAGGGGCTGTTGAGCAAGATTCCAGGAGTGAAGGGGATAGGAAAATTGAATAACTATGCAGGAGACAAATAGTCATGGAGAAGTGGGTTGGCCGGATCATGAGTTGTGCTGGGGATGAGGATAGAGAAAGTTCACAAGTTGAGGATTATATCACAGTTTTGTGGAAGATGATGTGTGCAGGCCATTGGAGATGGTGGCATTGAGGAAGAGTTTGCATGCTTGTGGGAGATCACAGTGTCACTAGGGAGGTCGAATTTGAGTCAAGGCGAGATGACCAGGCTGAGGTAGAGAAAGCAGGGTCATCGGAAGTTTACATGGTTATAGGGAGATTGTGAATTGGTGGGAGAGTGAAAATCTCTGGGGATTGTGGGTGTGAGGTGGGTGATCACAGCAACAGGGGAAGATCACAGATTGGGTGAAAATTGTACATCATGAGAAATAGGTGTCATCGGGAGACACTGTGAAGTCTAAGCTCTCATTTGTCAGAGGTTTTTGATCAGGGTTAAAGAGTGATTCAAATTGTAGGTTGGTGAGCTAACAAACTGGGATGGGGTGGATTGGAGACTTCGGATCGTGTGAGGGATTTGATCATTAAACAGGTTTACTTAGTAGGATGGAGAGCGTTCAGAGGGAATGCTAGATCTGACTGTTCTTGCCTCTATGGGAAATTTGATTCAGAATTATTAAATCAATTGCAATTCGCATATTGAAATAACTAACATAACTGCTGAGAGCAGGTTAGTCACTCTCCTTAAGGAATGAGGATAAACTCATGGTGGAAGCAAGTTCTCAAATGTTGGAGCTAGACTAGTCACTTATAAACAGAACTGTTAGAAATAATTAGAATATTTGAATAGTCCACTCAATTTATGTTGTATAAATGTAAACATTGTGAACTATGCCCAAGGAGATCAATATATTTATTGCTCGACATTATCTTAAAGTAGACTTTAAGGAAATTGAGAGGGCTATATACTAAAAATGCTTTCTTCTTATTGAAGTAAGTAATTGATTGAGCATAAATTTCTCTAAACACTGTCTGTTATATATGCCGTACAGAGCTTTCATTGAATGTCCTGGAACAATGAGATACCAAACCCAATCAATGAATTGAAAGAGAAGTCATTATGGTACCATATTTTCAATGTTGGCTTGAGAGCCTAATACCTAGATAAATTCTGAGTACCAATGCTTTACCTGCTTGCATGTAATCTTTAAATTGAAATTGTTTAATCAGTTAGGAGGTGGCCTCAACAGCTATTTAGAGGCACTGAGCACCTTGAGGAGGCAGAAGTTGCCTGTTTGGAACTGTAGCATGTTGGGAGCTGCCAGTACCTTGTCAATTAGATTAGGAAGCTCATGGAAGTGAAACTAGAAGGCAGCTGCTCATGTTAGCGATAGCTGGACCCATGGATTTGCTTTCAAGACAACTGAAGAGTTATTTATTTGGGCAGTGTGGTGAACAATTTAAGGGAAGGCAATGGTCTAGTGGTATTATCACTAGATTATTAATCCAGAAACTCAGCTAATGCTCTGGGGACCTGTGTTCAAATCCCACCACGGCAGATGGTGGAATTTAAATTCAATTAAAAAAACTGGAATTAAGAATCTACTTGTGACCATGAAACCATTGTCAATTGTCGGTAAAACCCTTCGGGTCCTTCAGGGAAAGAAATCTGTAATCCACACATGGTCTGGTCTATATGTGACTCCAGACCCACAGCAATGTGGTTGACTCTCAACTGCCCTCTGAAATGGCCTAGCAAGCCACTCAGTTCAAGGGTGGCTAAGGATGGGCAATAAATGCTGGCCAGACAGCGATGCATACATCCCACGAGTGAATTTAAAAAAGAATGGCAGCTGCGCACTCATATACAGAAGGCTGTGTGGGTGTGCTGGAAAAAAACATTTGAAGATCACATTTGGTAACAGACAGGGTTGTTGAGGCAGTGAACATGTTCCAAGCCTTTGGAAATTTGAAACTTAACTGCCCCTGTCAGTAACATTTGTGCCACCTAAGTGCCATCCCCAATGAGAGAATGTAACCAGCTCTCCTTGATGATCAATGACAGTGCAATCACTGAATGTCCCCCATCATCAATATCCTTGGGGGGTTACCATTGAACTGAAACTTATCTGAAACAGCTATAAAACTACAGTGGCTACAAGAGCATCTTGCATCCCTTTGCCTCCCTAAAGCCAGAAGACACGTCAGGAAAGTGATGGAATGTTGTCTATTTATATGGAAGAATGCAACTCCAACAGCACTCAAGAAACTCAACACTATCAAGGAAAGAGTTGTCCATTTAACTGGCACCCCATCCACAAACTTAAATATTCACTTGCTTCATTATCAGTGGTGACATTGTGTACCATCTACGAGATAAACTGCAGCAACTTTCTAAGCCTCCTTTGATAGTATCTTCCAAATTTGAAACCTCTACTACCTAGAAGGAAAAGACCAGTAGCATGAGAAAAGCACCACTTATAAATCAGGGAGCCCCTGTATTCTGTCATAACTCACTGGGATAGTGCGCTGGAAATCGAGCCCCGCAATTCTGGATTCTTCACAAAAGTTGAAGATTTTAAAATAAGTATACAAAATTCCTCAATGTATCTGATTTTCAGAGCTGGTTGATAGAAAACACAGAGCAGGTTTCTGTACATAGTGATAATTATTATTCAGTACAAGTAATTAGATTCTAGCTACAGGTAAACCATTGCATAGAAGGTTATTAATTAAGACTCTAATGCTACACACACACACACACATACACGCGCGTACAGACAAGGGAAAAGAAAACACATGGATAAAAGGGAAAATCTGGAAAGATGGTTCAGTAGTCTTTGTTTCCAAGTTCTGCTGAGTTGGTTCTTGCTGATCTAAAAGTTTCTTCTTGGTTTTCCTTTTCCATATGCTTTCCCTGGTTTGCTAAATTCACAGGGTGGCTGGCTCCCTTATAAAATTGCCTCTGAATAATCAATTAAAAGTAATAACTTACAGCAACTGCTGAAGGAAAGATTAACTAGCTTTCTTCAGGTTTAAAGTGAGTTTTGACTATAGAGAACAGAGAGACCACTTCTGAGTTATTGGAAATCAAATCCTTCCTCGGTGTCTTCTCTGCCCCAAGATGTTCAGTTACTTGAAAACCAAATACAAGGCCTTTGTCTTCAATAACTGATAGTGACCGTAGTGTCCATGGACCAATCAATTTCTTGATGCCACCCAGCTGTATCTGTGCACAGAACCCCTCAGCTTCAATTATTGCTTGCTCAGACTTGTACAAACAGAATGCATACCAGAAGTGTCAGACCAGTTGCTTTTCAAAACATGCAGCAATCCTTTGAAACACTGGTTTTAAAATAGTTCTTACTCATTTTTGGTCCACAATATTCCAAAATGCAAAAATAAAAAGACAGAGTCCTTACATGCTTCCATCCTTAAGGAAATGAAGCATTATTTCAAAAGTGTGTTTCATTTGAAAACATGTGATACACAAACAACAAAACACAGAACTTATGTCCATTCTTCCTCCTCCTCTTAAACAGCCTTACAGTCTTGCATTTCTTAAACCTTTATCTTTGCTGAACATGTTACAATTGGGACAATGCATCTGCAATTGTATTAACTTTTATGGTAATGTGAATTATCTTTACATTAACTGGTTGTAATTAAAGACTCCATCTGAATAGTCTTGATTACTGATTTTTAAACTTCTCAATGAAGGCTAGTGGATTATGAACAGTGTAATTAACATTTTTGTGTTTCTTTGTCAGATATAGATTTCAAAGTGCTGAAGACTCAACAACAATTCCAAAACCTCTTTTTCTAAAGTAGACTATCTTCTAATATTGTATAGTTTCTTAGGGAAATACTCTACTGGTTTCTATATTCCCAACTCATCATCCTATAACATGAAAGCACACACCCCTTCAAATTTCTGGTAAAATCCACACATTCCTAAAATCGTCATGATTTCTTATTTAGTTCTAGAAACAGGTGATTCTATTCGAGCCTTTACTTTCACTGTCCTTGATAATACTTGTCTTTGTCCGACAATATGTTGGAAGTAAATTATTCTTGCATCCAAGAATTTACTTTTGGCAAAAATTTATTGCTAAACCAGCCAACTATAATTGTTCAAACGCATTTTTCAACTTGTTTCACATGTTCTTCCCAAGTGCTACTACATACAACAGCAACCAAATACACTACTCAGTTACAAATTTCAGCTACAACTTGATTCATAAGCCTCTGGAATATAGCTGGGCCCTTCTTTAACCCAGATCGGATTATCTGACATTGGTATACCTTATTTGGTGTAGCAAAGTCAATATTTCTATATCTCTATAGTTTTTGCTGGTACCCCTTCAATAGATCAATTGTGGAAACAAAGGAGGCACTGCCAACACGATCAATGCAGCCTTCCAATTGTGGAATTGGGTATTTCTCATATTTGCATTTTTGTAGTCTATACAAAGTCTTGTTGATCCATCCAGTTTAGGAACCAACACTACGGAACTACAGCTGCTTTGACTGTGTTCAACCAAATGGCTCTCCAGCATGTATAAATCTTTGTTTCCACCTGAGATTTTGTTTCTTGATTCAGCTGATAAGGATATTGTTTTATTGAACCTGACTCATTAAACAACATCACGCCAGAAAATGAAGATCCCGACCTGAAATCTCAACTTTGTTGCTCCTCTGATGCTGCATGACCTGCTGTGTTCCTCCAGCTCCACACTGTGATGTTTTTAAAAACTAGATTAACTTTTTCACTAATCTCTCCCTGTCTCTAATTTGTCTTAAAAGAATTGCTTCTGGGAATGGGTTCTCACATCCATAATTGCAAGGAAGTATGCTGTGCTACTCAAAATATCCCCTCATGATGTCTGAGCCGCACCATTATTTTGATAAACAATTGTTCATTCTTTGCCTACAGGTACATATGAAGATGTGTCCACTTCATGAGAATTCAGTATAATAACATTCATTAACTTCTTCAGCCTCAGTGTGAGCCATCTATACCAACATGCTTAACTCTAGATCTGTGTCCCAGTCCACAATCAATGAATATGTGCCAAAAACCCCTTTTAAACTATTTACATTCTTAAGTAGAGTTTCATAATTCCTAACATCTATATTTGGTATTACTGTGGTCTCTGGTGATGGACTTTGTTCAGATGAAAAAATACTAGGAAACTGTTCTGTTTCTTTAGCTTCAGCTGGACTCTCCATGCTTACAAGTGAAGCTATGATTTTCACTCCTGCTAAAATAATTTCCTAACCAGTCCAACTATTAGTCCAGGCAAAAAGTTACACTTCAATTAGACTCTTGTACAATGGAACCAGGATATAATCTTCACCTATTCCATGTACCAACACTTTGGCTTTGTTTGAACTCTCTGGAGGAAAAACTAAATCCTTCTTCAACAAGAGAGTTTGAGTAGCCCCCATATCCTTTAGTATCATTATGGTTTTAGGTGCTTCCTTTGAAGAAAAAGGGGTTATCTTCCCTCTAGATAAAAACTCTTCATATCTTTCACCTACTCTATGTACTCTTTTGCACTCTCAGCCGTATGTACCTCTGATCTCTTAGTTGTACTTAAAACTACAATCTGATCTGTGGCCTTTTCTCAAATACTGAAAGAACTGAGGAAGGGTTGCCCAATCCAAAACATTAACTCTGATTTCTCTTCACAGATGCTGCCAGACCTGCCGAACGTTTCCAGCAACTTCTGTTTTTGTTTGTGGTCTTTTCTTTCTGAGATTTCTTTTTGACAGATTTTACATACTCCAATAAGTCCCATGTTTCTCCCTCTCAATTTCCAGCACTCAGAATGAATGTACCCCAGCTTGTTACCATGGAAAGACCTTGGCTTCTGATTTTTACCTCCACCCCTGTACCTTCCTTCTCAATCTGAGAAGGAGACCTTAGGGCACTCTCAGCTATCCATTCTTTCCTTGGCTACCAAATCAAGCTTGTAATTTACTAACCTTGTCACAAGCAGTGGGTGAAAAAGTGAGCAAGGCCTTTCATGTCAACCGGGTATACCTTTAGTTGTTGGAAAAGATGCTGTTGCACCTGTAAATTACCCACAGTGCACCATGTCATTGAGGAGTATGAGCATTGGAGCTGTCTTGGTAACAGTGTGATCATATCACCGGGTGAGCAATCTACAAACTTTAGTTAATAATCCAGAGAATATGAATCCAAATCCCAATCTGGTAATTTGAGACTTCATAATTATTTAAGTTTAGAAATAGACAGTCAATTAAAAAGTGACTGTGAAGCAAATGGGTTGTTGTAAAACTTAGGAAAGCAAACCAGTTATGAATATCTAGTCAAATGGATGTGTCACCCAACCCAACACCAAAGTGGTTGACTATTAACTGCTTTGTGAAATGTTCTACCTAGCTGCTTATTTTAATGGACAGGCAAAAATATTGGCCTTGTTTACTAAACCCATCCTTAGAGGATTTGTATTTGAAATTCAAACATTCCAGAATGTGTGAACTCACTTACCGTTATTGGTTTAATTTAGTCAGTCACAGCTCTGGCCCAAGCTGGATTAATTTAAAATAGTGAAATGCTACATGTCAGGGAGAGCAAATAAAACATGCAGCAGTAATCCTAGCCTTTAAGCATGAATTGTCTGTCATTTGACTATTGAAGATAATCATTCCCGTCCCAAAATAATGTGGCATCAACTGACCAGGTTAACAATGGGATCCTGACAATGCTGGTGGAAGGAGATGTGAGCAGAAAATGAATAAAAGAGCTAAATTATCTTCTTGTGATACTAGGACAAGAGCCTAATGAATGTGGAAGGCCTATTGTTGAACCCAAGAAATGTTTTGGAAGAATTGTTGGTGGCTGTGTATCCAAACCATATTCCTGGCCTTGGCAAGTTAGTCTTCGCACCAAGTAAGTGATTTGCCTCAAAAACATATGATAAGAAATCTTTCTTACATAATTTACAAGTGAAGTCCATGCTGTTAATCAGTGTTACACAGTAAAGTCTTTAACTTTACCAGCCACATAAATACTATGGCTACAAGACACATGGAACCTAACATTTCAGGTCTAGATGACTCTCTGTGGATGCTGCCTGACCCACTGTGATCGCCAGCACTTTCTTGTTTTCAGTTCAGATTCCAGCTTCTGCAGTAATTTGCTCCTAGACACATGGAAGTCACAGTCATAGAATCCTATAACACAGAGACAGACCCTTTGGCCCAAACTGGTTCATGCCAATCAAAATGTCCATCCATGCTAACCCCATTTCCCTGCAATTGGCCCATATCCTTCTAAAACCTTCCTATCCATGTATTTGTCCAAATGTCTTTTAAATGTTGTTAATGTACCTGCCTCAATCACTTCCACTGGCAGCTCATTCAATATGTGTAAAAAAGTTGTCCCTCAGGTTCCCATGTATTCTTTCCCCTCTTATCTTAAACTGATGCCCTCTAGTCCTCAATTCCCCAATCCTGGGAAAAAGACTGAGTGCATTTACCCTATCCATGTCTCTCATGATCTTATACAATTCTATAAGATCCCCCCTCAGTCTCCTACGCGCTAAAGAAAAAAGTCCTAGCTCGTCCAACCTCTCCCTATAACTCAGTCCCCTGACTGGCAACATCCTTGTAAATTTCTTCTGCACTCTTTTCAGTTTAATAACATCCTTCCTATAGCAATGTAACCAAAACTCAACACAATACTCCAAGTGCAGCCTCACCAACATCCTGTACAACTGCAACATAACTTCCAACTACTTTACTCAATACCCTGAATGATGAAGGCCAGTGTGCCAAAAACCTTCTTCACTGCCCTGTCTACCTGCGACTCCACTTTCAGAGAACCATGCACCTGAACTCCAAAATCCCTCTGTTCCACTACACTCCTTAAGGCCCTACCATTTGCCATGAAACTGCTACCTTGATTTGACTTTTCAAAATGCAACACCTCACACTTATCTATGCTAACCTCCATTTGCCATTTCTTGGCCCACTTCCCCAGCTGATCAAGATCCTGCTGCAATTTCTGATAACCTTCCTCACTGTCCACGATACCGCTTATTTTAGTGTTATCCGCAAAGTTACTAATCATGCCTTGTGCATTCTCCTCCAAATCATTGATATAGATAAGGGCGACACGGTGGCACAGTGGTTAGCACTGCTGCCTCACAGCGCCAGGGACCTGGGTTCGATTCCAGCCTCGGGCGACTGTCTGTGTGGAGTTTGCACATTCTCCCCGTGTCTGCGTGGGTTTCCTCCGGGTGATCCGGTTTCCTCCCACAGTCCAAAGATGTGCAGGTTAGGTGGATTGGCCATGTTAAATTGCCCGTAGTGTTCAGGGAGGTAGAGGGTGTATATTAGGTAGGTCATAGGGGAATGGATCTGGGTGGGATGCTCTGAGGTTCGGTGTGGACTTGTTGGGCCGAAGGGCCTGTTTCCACACTGTAGGGATTCTAATTCTAATTCTATAACAAACAGCAATGGGTCCAGAACCGACCCTGGAGGCACACCACTAGTCACAAGCTTCCAGTCCGACAAGTATCCTTCCAGTGTTACTCTCTGCTTCCTACCATCAAGCCAATTGTATATCCAATTTGCCAACTCTTCCTGGGTTCCATATGATTTAACCTTCCAGAGCAGCCTACCAGGTGGGAACCTTATCAAAGGCCTTACTGAAATTCATATAGACTACATCTACCACCCTGCCCTCATCAATCTTCCTGGTCACTTCATCAAAGAACAAATTTGTGAGACATGATCTCCCACACACAAAGCCACGCTGACTACTCCTAATCAAACCCCATCTTTCTAAATGCATGTATATCTTATCCCTCTGAATCTTCTCAAGTAACTTTACCTACCACAAATGTTAAGCTTACTGGTCTATAATTCCCAGGGTTTTTTTTGCAGCCCTTCTTGAATAAAGGCACAACGTTTGCTACCTTCCAGTCTTCCAGAACCTTACCCATGGCTAACAATGATGCAAACATATCAGCCTGGCCCCCATAATTTCTTCTCTAGCTCTTGCAGGGTTCTTGGATATATCTGATCAGGACCAGGAGATTTACCCACTTTCATACATTCTAATACTTCCAACA